CCAAGGAAGTTGTCTTGTCTAGCAGCCTAGTTTGAGCTATCAATCTGCATGTTTGTAATGCTTAAGAAGTTGTGCTTTAGTGGGCTTGTTAATCTTGATCATAGTGAAGTTTTCTCTCATCAAGCCAAGTCCAGCAGCTCTGTTGAGCTTTTCCAGCCATGTTTCCAGCCTACCAGTCATCAAAGCTACTCTGTTTTGCAAGTTGGTATCAGAGCCCGTTGTTTCGATCAACCGAGCGCCACCACCTTCCTATCCTAGCACAATCCATCCATGGCGGGAGACAACCCATCAGGCCCCTACCGGATGGTGTAACGCCATATGAGGCTTGGTTTGGAGTTAAACCAGATCTGTCTATGCTTCGTGTTTTTGGTTCCATGACCCAATACCGTGTTCCAGATGCAAAGAGAGTCAAGCTGGACAGCAGAGCTCATTGGAGCCTCTTCATCGGCATGAGCAACGAGAGCAAGGGATGGGTCCTTTGGGATCCCGTCACCAAGCGAGAAGTGGTTTCAAGGGATGTGGTCTTCTATGAAGACATGTCCCTTGCAGATTGGCACAAGTTTTCCTCTTCCTCCTCTCTACCACCCTCTCTCCAACAGGAACCAGCAAGAGCACCTGAGGAAACAACACAAGAGGAGGACGGAGATGACACCAATTCTGACCATAGCGGACCCATCATCGATCTCCCGCAAGCCGTCGTCAACGAGACCAGCTGCGCCACACCAGTGCCACCAGCAGCTACTCAACCAAGTGGAGATGTGGTTCAGCCGTCAAATGAAGACAATCCACCCCAAGAAGTCACCGTTACATCACCGCCAAAGGAGCAGCAGCCAACCGTCACCAACCAGCCAGCCATCTTCAACACCGAGAAACAGCGCCAATCAGACCGAACCGTCTCCAACTTTCGACAACGCAGCGTCATCATCAATTCCCAAGCTTCTAGTCTCAAGATCCCCACCAAGAGAATCTTCACAGCCAACTATGCCGACGAACATTTCAGCTTCACGGACACAAGTCACCACACCTATTCCTCAAGTCAACACCGATAATCGAGAGAGTTCCACGCCGGGAGAAGATCATGCAGTCGTGCCGCCGTCGCAGCCGATGTCGCAGCCATTGTCTCAGCCGCAGATGACCGTGTCAACGCATCCAACCACTGTGAGACCGAACCCTACCATTGATTTGTCTCAGCCAAGTGAGGCTTTGGGTAAAGGTAAACGAGTCCGCAAGGTAAAAAAGCCCTTCACATTCATGGTTGACATGTCATCAAGGTGCACATGTGAGGAGAGCGAGGATTGCATTCACAAGAAGGTAGAGGCAATATGCATGGCAGCGTCACACCTTCCACGAGAGCCATTGAGTCGTCGTGAGGCAATGGCAAGTCCCGAGAGAGAGCAATGGTTGAAGGCCGAGGAAGAAGAGATTGAGAGTCTCATGAAGAGAGGTACATGGCGTCTTGTTGAGCCACCTCCAGGGAAGAAGGTAATTGGTGTCAAGTGGGTGTACAAGATTAAGGTAAAAGGTGATGGTACACTTGATAGGTACAAGGCAAGGTTAGTGGCAAAAGGTTATTCCCAAATTCCAGGTCTAGACTTCACCGAAACCTTTGCCGCAATAGCGAAGTATACCACGGTACGAGTCCTCCTCGCCATAGCCGCATATCTTGGTCTCCATATCCATCAAATGGATGTCAAGAACGCATTTCTCTACGGTGTGTCTTGGAAGAAGAGGTATACATGGCACAACCCGAAGGTTATGATGATGGTACGGGTCGAGTTTGTCGCTTGGTAAAGTCCCTTTATGGTCTCAAACAGTCCCCACGGGTATGGTATCATGCTCTTGAGACGGTACTCTTCAAGCACGGTTTCACAAGGTCCATGAGAGACAACGCGTTGTACTTCATGCACACGAGTGAGGGGGAGTACATTTGGCTCTTGGTATATGTCGATGATCTCCTCCTAGTCTCAGGTTCTCTTGATCTCCTCAACAAGGTGAAAGGTATTCTCATGAATGCATTCACAATGACCGATCTTGGTGAGCCGAGTCATTATCTTGGTATGAACATTGTGAGAGATCATAAGTCACGGTCCATCTTCCTATTCCAGCAAAGGTACATCCAAAAGGTCCTTGAGAGGTTTGGTCTTGATGATAGCAAGCCATCACCTACCCCACTTCCTACCAACTTTGTCCTTTTGTCTTCACATCAGCCCTTTGAGGAGAGAGAGTCAAGCCTGGATATCACGGGTATTGAGGAGTTGTGTCTTGAGGAGAGTGAGCATCATGGTGAGAATTCACCCAAGGTATCCCCACAAGACCTAGCTCTCTACCAAAGTCAGGTTGGGTGTCTCATGTATGCAGCCCTATGCACAAGGCCCGACCTAGCATTCACGGTATCCAAGCTCGCTCAACACATGGGTGCCCCATCACCTATCCATATGCATGCAGCCAAGCGAGCTCTTCGGTATCTCAAAGGTACTTCTAATCATGGTCTTCTCTTCCAAGCCAGCCCACATGCAAGCTCCCTCCAAGGCTTTACCGATGCAGATTGGGCGGGAGATTTGAGCACACGCAAGTCCACCGGTGGCTATATCTTCCTTATGTGCGGTGCCGCTGTTTCTTGGCAATCGCGCAAGCAAAGTTGTGTGGCGCTTTCTACAACCGAAGCTGAGTACATAGCAATGACCGAAGGAGCAAGGGAGGCAATTTGGTTACGTGGACTCTTGGAGGACTTGAGGCAGCCGCAAACTCAACCAACTCCGCTCTACGTGGACAACACTTCAGCTATCGCCCTCTCCAAGAATCCGGTTCATCATGGGCGTACAAAACACATCGAGGTGCAGTACCATTTCATTTGTGAGCAACTAGAGAAGGGAGTTCTCGCCGTCAACTTTTGCCGTTCATTCGACCAAGCGGCAGATTTCATGACTAAGGTTCTTCCACATGATGCATTCAACATGTGCAAGGCAAGAGCAGGTCTCATGACACTTCATGAAGCAGTGCAGCAGTTTGAGGAGAATGAGGAGAAGCAACATGGGCAGCAGCATGGAGTGTATGCCAAGGAGATGTAAGAGGAGAGTAAGAATGGGCGTATGTGTGCTTCGGGTCTGGTGCGAGGGGGAGTGTTGGAGAATCGAGTCTCTGCCGCCCCAGCCCTTTGCACACAAGGAGCAGCAAGAATGTCGGCGACGGATTGAAGGCTTCGCGAAAATTCAGAAACTTCCGCAGCAAATCAGATTGCAGCCGAAGACTCGATACAGTTCGGGATTGCTCTCAAACAGAAGGGTCGACAGTTTCTACAGGTTTCTACAAAACAGAATCAGCTATAACAGTACATTCCAAAGATTTCTTATTCATGCACCTCATGTGGCTCTCAAGTCACTCAAGGTTTATGGAATCTGAATTGTGCCCAAGTTCCCAAGGAAGTTGCCTTGTCTAGCAGCCTAGTTTGAGCTATCAATCTGCATGTTTGTAATGCTTAAGAAGTTGTGCTTTAGTGGGCTTGTTAATCTTGATCATAGTGAAGTTTTCTCTCATCAAGCCAAGTCCAGCAGCTCTGTTGAGCTTTTCCAGCCAAGTTTCCAGCCTACCAGTCATCAAAGCTACTCTGTTTTGCAAGTATAGCTTGGGAGGGAAATTTTCCTTGGGACGAAGTTGTGTCCCCGTTTCCATATGCCGTCGAGCAGTTCGATTTGGTTTCGAAATGGGGGCGTTCGCCAGCCCCCCACATTGGTTTCTGGTTTAAAAATAGGAGAGGCTCGGTAGCATTTTTACGGGCTGGCCAGGCTGACGGAGCTTACAAACCCTAACTGATAGGATCAGGAAGGCAAGACCCACCTTCCTGATCCCATCTTTATCCAGTGGTTTTCGGCTTCAAAGGTGCTGGCGAACAGCCCCTGCACTGTTGAAGTCTGTGTGGGAGGAGTGTGTCCGCGCGGTAGAGTTGACAAAAAGGGTGGACTAGAAGCAGGGCGCATTCGTGTATAAGTACAGTTATCAGATTTGAACCCCAGATCGTGAGGAGGTCCTAAATTTTCTGAAATGAACGAGCTGGACACACCCTTACACCCACCCAAAAAATATTACTGACTTCACCTTTTCGGGGACTTCGCCAATACTTCGTCAAATTTGTGGACTGATCCCATCCCTTTCGGTCTCCGCAATGGGGCGAGAGATTTGCTCCAAACCCTTTTTTGGAGATTCGGTATTGCACACGTGGCTACCGTTTGCTGGCGTGGCTCTACAATTCACTGATAATTGCTCGAGTGGCCTCGCCAGGGAATTCTCAACGTCATTCTATACGGCACATTACCCTTCAGGGGTATTTAGCCTCAAGAGTTTGTATTGGTTATTGCGCGATCTTTCATCTCCGAAATTTATGTTCGTGACATTATACATGACCGCGCCCGATTGAATGCGCATAAAATCGACCAATCATGCGCAGCCATTAATGGTCCCGCGCATCCATATATAAATGCCTGATCATATATTTCCGCGATCATAAACTGCAATGCGCGGGACCTTTAAAACCCGCAGCCTGAATTACAAAAAAAGTTGGGAGGTGTTAACACCTTCCCTCCCGAACCAGGGTGGTTACCAGTTGTTCACCTGCAAAACGTGATGAAGTCGCAGGCAGCGAAGGGAACTGTCGCTCGGTTCCTGCGCAACCACTCTGGCGTTGGTGTGCACACCAAACTGTAAACCTGTAATTCAGGTCGATAGAAACTGCCTAGTCCGATCAGCACCAGCGGCAGCCATATCTTAGAACAGCTGCGCTCCAACCTCATTCCAGCCCCAGGCCTCTTAGACCCGCCTTACTCGTTAGGACTAATACTCCATTCCGTATGTGTCAAAGATATATCTTTCCCCGATTTTAGCCTTCCCGCTTCTACTCGCCCATGTTGCACCTCCCCAATGCCCACCGCATCGATGTCGCCCCTGTTCATAGCCGCGGCGTCCTCTCCGTCCGCGTTTCTAAGGTTTATCGACCTACTTCGGCGCATATGCTTCTTCTCCCCGTAGTCCACACTCGGTCCCCTTCCGTCCCACACACGCACTCCCCTCCATCGCTCACGCTGCCTCGCGAGACAGAGCACGCTCCCTCCCCTCTCGTCTCCTTCGCGTAATCCCCATTGTCGCGCACGCTCTGTTCCGTCGCGGATTACAAAATCCTTCCCGTCGCCCACGCGGGAGCGTCGAGACCGGTCACGCACACTCCCTTCCGTCACCCACGCGCACTCCGTCAGTTACCTCGGCCCACGCGCACTCCCTTCCGTTGGCCACGCTCAAGACCTTCCCGTCGCCCACGCTCACTCCCCTCCGTCGCCCACGCCCACTCCCTCTCGTCGCGTTCACTCCTCCCCGTCGCGCACGCTCTTTCCCCATCCGTCGCCCACGCTCACTGCCCGTACGTCGCACGCTCTCACTCCCTTCCATCGCCCACGCTCACTGCTCGTACGTCGTACACTCTCACTCCCTTCCATCGCCCACACTCACCTCCCTCCCGTCGCCTTCGCTCATTCCCCTCCGTATCCCACGCTCACTCCCCTTCCGCCGCCCACGCTCGCTCCCTCCAAGTCGCGTTCGGCCCCATCCGTCGCCCACCCTCACTCCAGTGCCGTCACACACGCACGCACCCTCCCCTCGACCGAGAAAGCATTCTCCGCTTCCGTCGCATACGCGTTCATCTCCCCATCCCTCATCTCCCCATCCCTCACCTCCCCATCCCTCATCTCCCCATCCCTCACCTCCCCATCCCTCATCTCCCCATCCCTCATCTCCCCGTCCCTCATCTCCCCATTCCTCACCTCCCCATCCCTCTCCTCCCCATCCCACACCTCCCCATCCCGCATCTCCCCATTCCGCCTCCCCCCATTCCGCCTCCCCCCATTCCGCCTCAACCCATTCCGCCTCCCCCCATTCCGCCTCACCCCATTCCGCCTCACCCCATTCCGCCCCACCCCATTCTCCGCTTCTGTCGCATACGCGTTCATCTCCCCGTCCCTCACCTCCCCATCCCTCACCTCCCCATCCCTCACCTCCCCGTCCCTCACCTCCCCGTCTCTCATCTTCCTCCCCATCCCACACCTCCCCATCCCTCATCTCCCCGTCCCACGTCTCCCCGTCCCTCACCTCCCCATGCATACCCACCCCGTGCCTCATTTCCTCATCTCCTCATCTCCTCATCCCCGTCCCTCCCCAACAATCGTGACGTGCAATCCCCCTGTCGTCCACGCGAACTCCCTCACTCCCGTCGCCCACGCAAACTTCATTTCCTCCTCACCCCATCTCCTCCTCACCCCATCTCCTCCTCACCCCATCTCCTCAGGATAGGGTTAGTGTCTCCCCATGCAGCGTACGACAAGGCAGCGGAGTAGTTCCAGGTGCAGTGCACCACCATCCCTCACATCCCCACCCCTCACATCCCCATCCCTCATCTCCCCATCTCTCACCTCCCCATCCCTCACCTCCCCATCTCTCCTCTCCCCATCCCTCCTCTTACCATCCCTCTTCTCCCCATCTCTCCACTCCCCATTCCTCCTCTCCCCATCCCTCCTCTCCCCATCCCTCCTCTCCCCATACCTCCTCTTACCATCCCACCTCTCCCCATCCCTCCTCTCCCCATCCGTCCTTTCCCCATCCCTCCTCTTACCATCCCTCCTTTCCCCATCCGAACCTCTCCTCTTCCCTCCTTTCCCCATCCGAACCTCTCCCCATCCGTCCTTTCCCCATCCGATCCCCTCCCCCTCTCCTCCATGTGTTTCCCACACCTTCCTTGGCCTTGCGGCACCTCCTCATCCAGTGTGCACCGCCATCTGCTTGAAGCTCTGTGGGCGGATGGTGGCGGGCAGAGTCGCGCAGCAGAGGCCTACGTTGTGCTGCAGGGGTCCCTTTCCCCGGTCCTTCCAACCTCTCTTCCTCCCTTCATCACTCCCTCTCTTCCTGCATTACTCCCTTCAGCCCTCCCTCCCATCCTTCGTTTTCTGGATGAATTCCCATCCATTTCTCCTCCTTGCATCCATTCTTCTATCCTTCCCTTCCTCTGTTCCTCCCTTCATCCATCCATCCTTCCATCCGTCCTTCCCGTCGTCTGTTCCTCCCTTCCTCCTTGCATCCTTTCCTGTTTGCGGCGCGCTTCACCTCCCCCTCCCCTCCCCCGATCGCTCTGCGCGGCCTCATTGCAGGGACTCCTCGCAGGGAAAGAAGGGGAAAGGGAGGAGAGTGAGGCGGAGTAGGGGAAGAGGATGATTTCACAGTGAAAAGAGAGTGCAGGAGGGAGTGTGTGGTTTAAGCCACCTGTGTCTCCCTCCTCTTGTCTCCTCTTCTGCCGCTCTGCTACATCTCTCCAGCTGCAGCTTTGCAAGCTACAGCTGGTCATGTACGTCCCCCCTGTTTCGCCCCATACCCTCCCAACTGTTTTTACCCATCCCCCTCCCCATTGTCTCCCCTCTATACCTTAGATCTTATTTTCCCCATCTCCCTCTCCCCTGTTTCCCCTCTTCCCCGCCCCCACACCCCCTTCTGTATCTACAATCGGAAGAGCGTGCTACGGCTGCTGCTGTGGCGAGCGGGTGTTGTTGCACTCGAGAGTCAGTCACTAGGTGAGCCACACCACACCCTGCACACTCCTTCCCTGAGCTTCGCCCACGCTCACTCTCTTCCCATCGCCCGCCCCATTCCCTTCCGTCACCCACGCTAAGTCCCCTCCGTCGCCCATGTGCATTCCCCTCGAACGAGCACGCTTGGTCCCCGCCCTGTCCTATCCCCTCACCCCGCCCTGTCCTATCCGCTCACCCTGCCCTGTCCAATCCCCTCACCCCGCCCTGTCCAATCCCCTCACCCCGCCCTGTCCAATCCCCTCACCCCGCCCTGTCCTATCCCCTCACCCTGCCCTGTCCAATCCCCATCCCAGGCAAGCATGACAGAGGCCCAGACGACCTGCATGGACATGCCGCCTCCTCTTGCTCCTGTTTTCAGCATCTCAAAGGGGCAAACGAGCTACATTGCAGAAGGGACAGCAAAATGGAAACACAAAAGACTAGAGCAATGGCTCGAGCTTGTCTTTTGTCCTGGTACTGCATGCCAGGGCCTGTGCTAGGATTTAGGGCTCCCTGAGCCCTCAGGGCAACTTTTGAAAACTCTCCAAAATGCCCTGATTTTTCAGGGCAAAATTTCCTGGCAATCCTGAAATTTCAGGGCACCAGCAGAAATTCATCCGGATGTTTCAGGGCAAAAAAATACAAGACACTAGAGTGGAGGGGAAGCCACGAGAGGAGCAGGTTGTTCAGTGGTTTCACTACAATGGGCTGAGCAAAAACCTTGGGGGGGGGGGGACAAAACTAGCACACACACCCCCGAGCCTCCATCCTCCCCTCTCCCCCTCTCCCCCCCTCCCCTCCACCCCTTCTTCCCCTTCCCATGAGTCAGGGCATCCCTCTACATTCACCCTAACGCTTCAGGGCAAAATCTCACTGCCATTCTGAAATTTCAGGGCATAACACATGAATCATCCTGACGTTACAGGGTAAATTTCATCGTCATTCTGAAATATTATAATTTTTAAACACATTGATGTTTTTCAAAATTGTGTATTGTGAAAGCGAAGCTGACTGTACCGAATATTTGGCAGCGTCGAAGCGCGCTAAACGCCCTTCTCCAACTACAAAAACCGTGGGTTGGAGCTCATTCCCTCCACCCACGTTTCTCGTTTTCCAACGGCTCAATCAACATTTCCGTTCGAGTAGTTCTTTTCCCCGTCCAAGCTGGCTAGAACTCGCACCCTTCCCAGAGGCGAGTCACCCTCAACACTTCTGCAAGACATTTTCAACCACAATCGATCTACAATGGCGTCTACGCCGGCACTTAACCGCGTCAATTCGTCTGCGCCGGTTTCCGACTCCGACCGTAACGCCCGAGAAATGACGGGCGATCGCCGTAACAAGCGGCGGGCAGAGGAAGGATCGCCCGCCCCAACTGCCGTGGACGTGCTGTTGGGCGGGCTCGAGGTCAACAAAAACTCGAGCCCGCCCCAGCAGCAGCACCCCTCGGCCCCTGTGGCGCCTGTGGCGCCTGTGGCGCCTGAGGCGCGTGTGGCGCAAGTGGCGACGGCGGCACCTGCAGCACCTGGGGTGCCACACGCGCCTGACGCGGAGCACACGCCGGCGCCTGTGGCTGGACCGTCGCGTCAGCGCCAGAGGCGCCGAACATCGACTTCTTCTGACGCGACGACCCCGGCGTTGACCAACGCGTTGACTCCGGACCAGGTCGCTGCGCTTCTGTCCCTGTTACAGCAACAACCCGCCAGCGTTACAGCTACGGAAATTGCACAACCCGCGGCGTCTGCATCTGCTAACAAGGAAAACGCAAAAAAAGAAAAAGGAGCGCGAGGAACAACGGCGACCCGGCACAACAAGGAAGCACCAGCCAGCATCCCACCTGCGCCAGCGGCCGACAACGACACCGACGGCTCCGACGACGATGATGGTGAGGCTCCGGTCCATACCGCAAATTTTCATTCCATGGAGCATCTTCCCCCCCTCCCCTCTACTACTAACACCACTTGGTCGGCGGCGACGTTCAACGACGAGCACGTGCGGGCGAAAGCGGAGATTCTGGAGGACATGCGGGCCTACCTGAAACACGCAGAGCACAAGCTGCAGCACGGCGACTCGGCGGGCGGACTCGAAATGGTCGTCGCCGCCCTCGACGACATTTCCGCGCGCTTCGACATGTTTCAAGTCGAAGACGCATCCGACGACCGCGTTGCCAAGCGCTACAAGATGTACCTGGAGAAAAGCCTTCTCACCTCGCGGCCGTTCAAGCAAGCCGTCGCGGACGTGGCTGCCATGGACCGAGCGGCGGGCGCTCACGCTCGCTCCCACCGTGGTGGAAACCACGGCGCCAAGGCGTTCGCCCCAAAACGTGGCCCTCCAACCTCGGGCAACTTCCAAGGCTTTCGTGGTTCGTGTTTCCGCTGCGGACAGCCAGGCCACGTCGCCAATGCCTGCCCTCGGAATGGGCATGGGGGCCAAGGACCCGCACCGGTTGTGTAAGGTTCGGGCTATGGTGAAGCGCGCCTCTAGGCGCGATGCACGGTGCACTTTTGAGTGCTTAGACCGTGGGCAGCCTAGTAGGGCTTGCGGTGGCCATGGCCAGCCCTAGGATAGGGTGGTAGAAGTTGGCCATAGGCCTAGCTTTGGGGAAGAGGAAGAATGCCTCTCGGTCCCCTAGGATAGGGTAATAAAGTATGGCCGTAGGTCTAGCTTTGGGGAAGAGGAAGAATGCCTCTCGGTCCCTTGTATGCCCCAATTGATGGGATGAGAAACATGCTAGTAGGCATGACAATGTATGACCATGAGAGATAGGGATTTTATTGAAGGCCCCTCTTGTTTGTCACGGATTAAAAAAAAAAAAAAAAAAAAGAAAGGAGGAGAAGGGGAGAGGGAGAAAAAGAGAGTACGTACGCTCCTCACTCAAACCGCCACCATGCATGGCAAGGATGAGCAGCCCTGGTTCAACCGTTGGAAGCCCAAAAAGGGTGAGAAGGAGCAAGGGGGGGGGAGTAGGGCATAGCGATGTCGCCTAGCCCAAGTAAAGGCACGCGCGAAAAGACACGAGCTCATGACAAGCGAAGCATGCAAATGCTCAAACAACAATGGAAACACATCCAAAAAGAGAGGGAGAGAGAAAGAGCGAGAGAGAGAGAGAGAGAGAGAGAGAGAGAGAGAGAGAGAGAGAGAGAGAGAGAGAGAGAGAGAGAGAGAGAGAGAGAGAGAGAGAGAGCACACGAGGGAAGCATGATCATGGTCCCAAGCATCAATCCTCCAAAAAAAAAAAAAAAAAAACGAGGGGAGGGAAAAGGAGAGAGTATGAGAAAGAGTTTGCCAAGGTGCGATCGGACGCCCTATATGGAATGACGACAAACCGTCCGTATGGTCCTCACTGTTGACGGTTCATTTTTCGCGCATGCATGTATATGTCACACGCATGAACTAATTAAGGCGTGCAACCTGATTGTTCGCGTTCATTTCCTTGCCGTACATACAGGAGCACAACAATACGAGGTGCCTCGCGACGATGGCCCGTACGAATTCGCCGTCACGGACAAAACCGTCACACGGATGTGCGGTCGGCTTCGCTCGACCTTTGCGTGGTGGAGCTCATGGTGCCCTTGCAGCCTCGTCCTATCCATCATCGCCAACGGTTACTGGCTTCCATGGAGCCACGGCCCACCACAGGCCTTTCGGGAGCGTAACCACGCTGGTGCATACGCGCATGCGTCGTTCACACGTACTGCCATCCAAGAACTCACAGAGACCGGAGCTGCAGTCGAGACAGCCGCAAGCGAGCTTACGTGCATAAGCCCACTTAACGTGGTCGAGCAGAAAGAAAAATGCAGGCTCATCCTCGACCTGAGAAAAGTCAACACAAACCTCATCGTCCCAAAATTCAAGTACGAAGGACTCAGCCGTGTGGCAGACGTGGCACGCGCTGGGGATTGGATGTTTTCTATTGATCTCAAATCCGGGTACCATCACATCGATATCCATCCTTCATGCTGGAAGTTTCTCGGTTTTGGATTCGATGGGCGCACTTACTCCTTTCGTTCATTGCCGTTCGGTCTTGCGACAGCTCCATTCATCTTCACGCAACTCATCAAGCAGCTAGCCCGTCGCTGGCGGGAGCAAGGCATCCGAGTAGTACCATACGTGGACGACATCTTATTCCTTTGCCAGTCAAAAGCTCACGCGCAGGCTACTTGCCACCGTGTAATACTGGACCTTAAAGCAGCAGGTTTGGTGATAAATGCGAAGAAATCACAGCTGTCACCATCGCAACACCTTCGATTCTTGGGTGTGGAGCTAGACACGGCCACAGGCCGATTTACCATCGGTCCCGAACGACGAGCCTCACTACATGCAACCATTCGGAACCTGTTGAGCGCAAGCAAGGCATGTCGACCCGTCTCAGTCCGCCAAGTGGCCAGAATCACAGGCATGCTCGCGTCAATGGGCGTCGCGCTGGGCGCAACAGCTCGTGCTTTCAGCCACGCCATGCTACAAGTGATCAATGACGCACCTTCATGGAAAAGCAGCGTGATCATCCCCCCAAACGCGGCTGAGGAGCTAAACTTCTGGCTCGAAGAGTTTGACAGGTTCAACGGTGCACCGTTTCACGTTCGAAACAGCTACGACGCTGTCATCCATGTGGATGCTAGCGCTCACAGTTGGGGCGCCACTTTGACCACATTTCCTGGCGGCCTCGAAGAAGCTAGCGCAACAATGCCAGAGCCGCTGCGAGCGACGTCCAGCACACGGAGGGAGATCGAAGGTGTGCTTTGGGCACTCCAAACATACTCCAGCAAGATCACGCACAAACATGTTCTTGTGCGGGTGGACAATCAGGGCGTCTTCTTCATCCTTCGCAAAGGTGGCTCGCGCAGCCCCGACCTTACCACGGCCTGCCAAGACATCATTCGACTATGCATGGAGCACGGCACGCGTCTAATCATCGAATGGATCCCACGGGAGCTAAACTCACACGCCGATGAGCTCTCAAAAGCAGTCGATCATGACGACTACTCGTTGAAGACGCCGTGGTTCCGCATCTTAGAACGGCGTTGGGGTCCCCATTCCATCGACCTCTTTGCAAACTCCCGCAACTCCCAGCTGCCACGCTTCTGCACTAAAATTCCTCATCCACAAGCCACCGCAGTCGATGCATTCTCGCTCGCATGGACATCAGAAAATAGCTTTGCGTTCCCCCCGCCCCATTTAGTTCCGGCCGTCCTCCATCACGCACAGCGCACCCGTGCATCGCTCACATTGATCATCCCACACTGGCCGGGTGCAAACTGGTGGCCACTTTTACAACCTTCCCCACGCAACTGGGCACCGTACATCCACGCGCACATTCCCTTGACACACGGCAGCCAATGCCTGGCAGCTGGAACACATTCCGCTGCTTTTTCAGGCACTGGATTACCACACAGCCCAATCATCGCACTTCGGGTGGCTTTTGACTAATTGAGAATGTACGCGCCTTGTGTCCAGATCCGCTCCCAAAGCTACACAACCAACTCATCAACATGCTCACACAATCGCGAGCGAATTCGACAATCCGTACATACGAACCGTACTGGGCCAAGTTTCGGGCCTTCTGCACAAAGGTGGATCTTCCATTTCTCCCCGCATCCGACATGACCCTCGCGCTATACTTGGTGCATGCAATCCAACGCAAAGCAACCTTGTCTGTAGTGCAGCTCACGTGCTCGGCAGTCAGCTTCGCCCATCGCATGACTGGAAGCAAATGCCCGACTGTCGGACCGTTTACCACCCAAGTGCGGGACTACGCGAAACGACACTGCCCTCGCCCTAGTCGTTTGAAGGAGCCCGTATCAATCCAACAAGTTCGGGACATGTCCGCGAACTACTTGCAGTCGGACAATCCCGCTGAATTTCAGAAGGGGTTGATCCCTATCCTCATGTACTCCGGATTTTTGCGATACTCCGACCTCGTTGCCATCCAGTGGCAAGACATCCAATTCGACGATGCAGTCATGTGGATCCTCATCCCACACTCAAAAACGGACCAGGCTGGTCGTGGAACCTGGATTCCCATCGCCGCAACGACGGACCCTTGTTGCCCCGTGCGCTGCACCCAACGCTTCCTCCAACTCGCTGGCTATGGCCCTCATTCCGAGGGGTCGTTGATTCGCGTTTTCAGTCACGCTTCAGCCAACAAGGGCCAGGCCAAGCCACCCTCGTACACAACGATCCGAAACTGGTGTAAAGAAGCATTCGCCAAAGTAGGACTTGGGGAGCAGCAGCTCGGCACGCACTCCTTCCGAAAGGGCGCAGCAACCGTAGCCGCCAACATCGGCGTGCCGGACAGAATCTTCAAAAGGATGGGCAGGTGGCGAAGTGACACCGCCAAAGAGATGTACGTCACACCATACGTCGGACATCTTATCAAGGCATCCCGCGACCTACAGGACCCGACATACACGCTGCCCCCAGAACAGCACGCAGAGGCACTCTTACGCAACCGCAAGCCACCACTGGGCATGTCTCAGAGGCCCCAGTTGCAATGAGAACGATGCCAAATTATAAGGACAAGAAAGCAAGCTTTCTCAATATTATAATTTTTAAACACATTGATGTTTTTCAAAATTGTGTATTGTGAAAGCGAAGCTGACTGTACCGAATATTTGGCAGCGTCGAAGCGCGCTAAACGCCCTTCTCCAACTACAAAAACCGTGGGTTGGAGCTCATTCCCTCCACCTACGTTTCTCGTTTTCCAACGGCTCAATCAACATCCCCACCACCCACCCCGGACCAACTACAAGACCACAGCTGCTTGGACGGACGACTCCATAGCTAGTAATATTTGCATGTACTAGCATGTGTTTACGAACGATGCATATGTTGTAATAAGCCAGTTGCAATGAGAACGATGCCAAATTATAAGGACAAGAAAGCAAGCTTTCTCAATTTCAGGGCAAACTTAAAACACCATCCTGAAATCAGGGTAATCAGGATGTTTTGCCCTGATATCGTGGGCCCTGCTGCATGCTTATGTCATGTGTATTTACATCTCAAATAACATCTACATGGGTTTAGAAGCTTTACATCTTATCGCCTGATTTGTGTACTGGTTTACTGTGAAGGGGTTACAAACAAAACTAATAGAGGCTACCATAACAGCAGCATGAACAGCGGCTTGAGTACAGTATGAACATGTTGTAATATGCCGTTGGATGTCACAATGAGGGCACACAGCAGCCTCAAATGAAATCAAATCGTACTTGGTTGCTCCATGCTGCAAAGCAAAGCTCACAATCAGATGGAAGGTGGGAAGGACTGGAGAGGGAAAATAGAAACAGGGAAGGGAGGGAACGCAGGTGAGTCACAGGGTCGTGTAACCACCCCAGCCCTTCGAGTTACATGCCTGTTGAAGACAATAACAGGGTTGAAAAATGACAAGAGAGAGGAGGAAGGGTTGAGAGAGGGGAGGAACGGATGAGAGGAGTGAGGAAGGGATGATAAAAGGGGGGAGAGAGGAGAACAGGGGGGGGATAGGAGGACAGGGGGGGGGGGGAGGAGGACAGGGGGGAGAGAGGAGGACAGGGGGGGGGGGAGAGGGGGACAGGGGGGGGGGGAAACTGGGCGCAATCAGGGGGGGGGAACTGAGCGCAGTCAGGGGGGGAAACTGAGCGCAATCAGGGGGGGGGGAACTGAGCGCAATCATGGGGGGAAACTGAGCGCAATCAGGGGGGGAAACTGAGCGCAATCAGGGGGGGGAAACTGAGCGCAGTCAGGGGGGGAAACTGAGCGCAATCAGGGGGGGGAAACTGAGCGCAATCAGGGGGGGGGGGAAACTGAGCGCAATCATGGGAGGAAACTGAGCGCAATCAAGGGGGGGAACTGAGTGTAGTCTGAGAGGGGGGAACTGAGCGCAAAATGGGGTAGAAACAGAGCAGCGAGAAAGACATGAATTAGAATGATCGTTGCGACGTGGGCGGATTGGGAAATGATGCGACTGAAAACGGAGAGTGAGAAGGGGGAAAGTGGCCTCCGCAAAATCGAAGCAGCAACTATTGAAGGGACAATAGGTGAACGAATGGGAAGCGGAGAGAAGGCGGCGGGGTGGAAAACCAGGGCGTCGGCGCGAGAGAGGGGAGTAGGCATGGGCGACGGGGAAAGGAAGAGAGGGCGAATAAGATGGAGACTCGACGAAGAGTCGGCGGCGGGAATGAGAACGACGTCGACGCAGCGACAGATGGGAGAGGAGATGTTGACGGGGCGAGCGATGGGGAGGGGAAGCCCGGGCGACGGGCGGGGGAAGCGAAGGCGACGGGCGGAGGAAGCGAAGGCGACGGGCGGGGTAAGCGAAGGCGACGGGCGGGGCAAGCGATGGGACGGGCGGGGGAAAGCGAGGGCGACGGGCGGAGGAAGCGAGGGCGACGGGCGGGGGGGCGGCGAGAGCGACGGGCGAGGTGTGGGCGGTGGGCGGAGACAGCAAGGGCGACGGTCGAGGGTCGCGAGGTCGGCAAAGTGCTAAAGTCTCATCTCCCCACGCCCATTTTTTCCGTGCTTGACACTCGCGTCTTGCGCCTGTGTTTCCCTTCAATTGCATATACGCGCGGCACCTACTATTTCAGGTTGTCTGCGATGTGTTCACTAAAAAACCCTAGCTGGTGTGCGATGGTCGGATTTAAAAAGCGAGTGAATGAGTTGTCAGGGCGTGTCCAGTTCGTTCATTTCGGGATTTCTCGTGCCAACGCACGTATCGAGGTTCAAAAATGACTACCGTACCTAGAAACGAATGCATTGTGAGTGGAGTCCAACCATCCTGTAATTTCAGAAGCGCGGACACATTCCCCGCCACACGAATCAACAGTGCTCTGACCACGTTGAAAATGAGGTAACAGTTTCCCTCGTCAATCATAGCTTAAAAATTTTTGTGCGGGCGCAGTGGGCGCTGGCGAGTAGAGCGAAACACTGACGAAATCGTGCAAGCGATACAAGGGAAACGAACTGTAGTGGCCAAGACGCGGTGCTGTACCCTTGTTCGCGACCCTGCTGATTCCAGTAACGTGAGTCAGACGACTCTAGGTACGTGCATGGGGCGTGCCGTCTTGCGAACAGAAGCTGATTGTGTCCGCTGGACACGTTCAATAAAGGGTTACCACAAAAAATGTGGTAACTGAGGGGATTCACGAACAGTAAATGTACGAGCTGGACCCCCCCTTAGCTGTTCTGTCGCACCGATTTTCTTACTCTGCTCCAGTCGTCAGGATGTCGCCTTTTGTTTTCGCTTGCTCGCAACTTTCGCAATTCTTACAAACCTCACCCAACCAAACCGAGCCCAACCCGAACCTAGCATTGACTCAGATATGTAATTCGGGCTTCGGGTTTTAATGACCGCGCATGGACTGGTCGAATATATGCGCGGTAAATTTTTTGGCAATGCACGTCCAATCAGGCGCGGTCATAGAGGGTCACGAACATAAATCTCGGATAGTGAAGATCGCGAAATAACCATTACAGAAGTTTCGGGGATACAAATCCTTGCAGGGTAACGTTCTGGGTAAAACAAAGCCAATGGGAATCCCCTGGCAAGGCCACTCGAGCAATTATCACTGAATTCGAGAACCACGCGAGCGAATCATGGCCACGTGGGCAACGCCGAATCTTCAAACAAGGGTTTGGAGCAATTCTCTCCAACGGGGCTCTATCAGAGGATGCAAGCACGCGCGAGGATGGTCCGTCGCAATTTTGGCAGTGGTCCGTCACTGCAAATTTTGGCCAATTATGATAGGGAAACAGAAGAGGTCCGAGCCATACGTACTGACGAAAGCTGTGACGATGGCTAAACTATACTTACTCTTCATGGGCCGAGTGCAGATTACACTGATCCGGCCACAGTTAAAAAAAACAGACGAGCCCGTTAATGGACCGAGTTATAATCATTGCAGTCCGTCTTCTGCAGTGTGAGTCCGAATATTTACTCGGGCGGCCACCCGACTCAGTTGCCCAGTTCGTCCCTGAAGCACACGACTTCGTAGCTCCTATTTAAGGTATAGAACTAGGCTTGGTATGTCTCGTTTTCGATACTATTTTTTGCCATGGAGGACTACGAAAAGCTTGAGAAAGTAGGCGAAGGTGCCTATGGAAAGGTTTACAAAGCGAGATGCAAGAAGACTGGCAAGACAGTAGCGCTGAAGAAGACTCGTTTGGAAATGGAGGAAGAAGGGGTTCCTTCGACAACCCTTCGTGAAGTTTCCCTTCTGCAAATGCTTTCGAAGAGCGTGCATGTCGTGCGGTAAGAACACAGCCAGTCCCGTCAGAGCCCTTCCCTCGGCTTTTGGTTTTGGTTTCCATCTCATCGCGATACTCGTTTCGTTTCTCAGATTACTCAACGTCGAGCACATCACCGAGTACAACAAGCCCATGCTTTACCTGGTCTTCGAGTACCTGGACACCGATCTCAAGAAGTACATGGATGCGATTGGCAAGGGCCCAAGCCACCCGCTGGACCCCAAGATTTTGAAGGTGTGCAAACTGATTGCTATTGGCTCCTCAGGGCGCATGAAACGTGTGTCTTTGTTGAGGTTACTGAGAGTTTCATTGACTTGATTGCAGAACTTCATGTATCAACTCCTCATAGGAGTTGCTCACTGCCATAGCCATGGAGTTATGCACAGGTGAAAGTCCAGCGCTGCTCGCATATTCCCGTGTCATCCCCATCAATAAAGACAAACTAATAAACCTTCTCGTACATGCAGAGACCTTAAACCGCAGAACCTTCTTGTCGACAAAGATCGGGGCTTGGTGAAAATCGCTGATCTTGGATTGGGCCGCGCATTCACTGTTCCTATCAAGAGCTACACACACGAGGTAATGAATCTGACGTACGTGTAATAACGAGTATCAAAGGCTCCCACATCGTACTAATCCATAGATGCCGATTGCAGATTGTAACTCTGTGGTATCGAGCTCCGGAGGTACTTCTTGGCGCAACCCACTATTCCACGGCTGTGGATATGTGGTCGGTTGGATGCATATTTGGTGAGTAATGTCTGTCATCGACCTTCTCGATTAATGAGCATCTTCCCAAGCTAATACTCTCGTCACGTTGGTTTCAGCCGCTCTTCCTAGGAGATTCGGAGTTGGAGCAGCTGCTCCGCATCTTCGAGTGAGTGGACATTTTTCTTGCCTAATCTCAGCATGGTTTAGCATGATCGACTAACCAATGTTACTATGTACCTGACTGTACAGGATTCTTGGAACTCCCAACGACAAAATCTGGCCTGGTGTCTCCGATCACCGTGACTGGCATGAGTTCCCCCAGTGGAGTGCCCAGAGCCTTGCTCGGTTTGTGCCAGAGTTGGACAAGAACGGTGTTGATCTATTGAAGGTACAGTAGTAAGCTGTTTTTTTCTTAGCATTTGAAGAAAGGGTTTGCCTTCGTTTACTTACTGATTTCGTGCTTTCTGCAGCAATGCTTGGAGTATGATCCCGCCAAGAGGATCACTGCGAAGGATGCTCTTCAGCATCCTTATTTCGACAACTTAGACAAGTCGCAATTTGATGCTCCCTTCTGAGTCCGGCACATCTAGCGGCCCACATGCATGCTAGACCCTTAATCACTGTCATGTCAGAATAGGAGTTCAGTATTGAGAAAATTGAGCAAACCAAGAGCTTCATAATAGCAAAGAGATACAAGATATAGTAGTCCATTGAGAACAAGAACTAGAGGTGCACCACCAAACATTATACGGTACAAGATAACTTCTACCAGTAATGCTGGTCACATGGCCTTTGAACTTTGGTCTACGTCTTAGTGCCTGCCTGGTGTAGTACAAGTTAGCCACAACCGTGACAGTGACTTGGACGTTCCAAGCAGTGTCTGACTCTGACAGCACTCCTGCCTCGTGTACCACAAGCAGAGAATACATCCCCAAACCATGTCCCTATAAGCAGATCTTCACAATCTCACAGTTCTTCATGCGTCGCCGCGATGCTAAGAACTCCTGGAATTACACACATTTTACCGTACATGGGAAATAACTCAATACGGTACATGAGAGTATAATCTCCAGGGTTACGAGCTAGAAATGATTGACTCAGTTCGGCAAACAGGGAAGGCCAAAGCGTAGGTGGGAGAGAGAACATGCACGTCAGAAGGAACGCGTGGGTGGTTGTTAAGGGCAGCAGGCGAGAGAGGTCGGTACCATGAAGAAAGTGGAGTGGCCGATGACAGCGATGGTGGCCTCGGGGCACGCAAAGAGAAAACGGCGGAACTCTCCCACACGCTTGCGAAGGATGGCTGGTGTGCGACACGGGAGAACGGAGAGGAGGGGGGGAGTACTGCAAGCTGAGCTGGAATGCTTAGAAAGGAGAGGAGTCGAGCACAGACGCATGGAAGAGGAAATGGATGAGGCTATCCAGAAAGAGAGGAGGAGTTGCTGTAGGGTGAGAGATTTAAAATATTCAAACGAATGGAATAAGGAGGGCAATGAGAGGTGGAGAGGAGAGGAAGGGGGAGTGACAAAAAGGTGAGGAGTGGAAGAGAGCAGATGGGTGATGGGAGAGGCACAGGAGAGAGGGAAAACCATTAGGATGGGGTTTGGCATGGCTGTGTGCAGCATAGATTAGGGTTCTAGGCACGTGCGGTGCACACCAGCGACGGACACCACTTGCTGCTCTCACCGCGTGCATGTGCAGCTCCATAATTCACTATCACACACCCATCATCATCCCCCTCCCCTCCCCTCTCCTCCTTTCACCGTTCATGACAATAGCATGCCACGTCAATGTGCCATTCGGCAACAGCCGCTACCTGCATTCCCCCCACCACCTCACCATCCCCCATGCGCCCTCCCACGCTGGAGGCAGTGGCAAGCACCTCTGGGCGGCACACACCTCTGGGCGGCACGCACCTCTGGGCGGCACACACCTCTGGGCGGCACGCACCTCTGGGCGGCACGCACCTCTGGGCGGCACGCACCTCTGGGCGGCACACACCTCTGGGCGGCACGCACTTCTGGGCGGCATGCACCTCTGGGCGGCACGCACCTCTGGGCGGCACACACCTCTGGGCGGCACACACCTCTGGGCGGCACACACCTCTGGGCGGCACACACCTCTGGGCTCATGCAGGGAGGGCGGATTGCTAGCAGCTGAGGAGGGGGCAGGCAGAGTGGGGGCGAAGGGCAGGGGGGTTGTGCAAGGGGGAGAGGATGCTGGAGCACCACGTGGTTCCGCTACCGCACCCCATGTACCTGCTGCTGCTGCTGCTGGGCCTGTGATCGGTGCAGGCGGGGGCGGTGATGCAGGGGATGGCGTGGCAGGGATTGCAGGAGGAGTGTGTGTGGAAGGGAGGGGTGTGGGTGGAGGGTGGGACGGGTGGTGGGGCCACCAGTGGTGCGGGAGGTGAGAGAAGGAGAGGAAGGGGAACGGGAAGTCGGAGGCGAGTATCTGCACACACACATATGTGCATGCACACACATGCACACACACACATGTGCATGCACACACATGCACACACACACACATGTGCATGCACGCACATGCACACACACACATGTGCATGCACGCACATGCACACACACACATGTGCATGCACGCACATGCACACACACACATGTGCATGCACGCACATGCACACACACACATGTGCATGCACGCACATGCACACACACACACACATGTGCATGCACGCACATGCACACACGCACGCACATGCACACATGCATTCACATCCACATGCGCACACATACACACACATACACACATGCAGAGCAGAGAGTGGCCTGTGAGCCTGAGGGTGGTAACCATGAAGAGTAGTGCGTACTGAGCCAGGAGGAATGCAGATGAATCAACCTCAACCCCACCCCATCCGCACCCCATCCCACCTATCCCCACCGCAGGCCCTCCCCAAGCCCACCCCCTCATGCGCGCACCTCCTTGTCACGCCCCATGTCCCCAGGGCCGGCCACGTGCTCTGAGTGCAGCGCACACACCCGCACACGGCATGGCAGGGGCGAGCGCGGCAGCGCATGGCAGGGCTGGGGGGAGGACAGCAGGGCAGGGGGAGGAGCAAGGGTGGTGGTAGTCGCAGGGTGGCACGCACTGGAGCAGGCGTGTGGTTGCCCGTGGGGCGTGTGAGGACACTGGTGGATCGAGTTCAAAGGTTTTGCAGATGAGTTGAAGGGATGATGAGGTGCGTTGGAGGAGTGTGGAGCGGTGCAGCATGGCGGGCCGAGAATGCTGGTGGTGGTGCAGGGGGCGTTGCAGCAGTGGCACGTGGTGGCGGTGGGAGTGTTGAGGTGCAAGGCATAGCAGAGAGTCTCCAGCGCACGGGAGAGCGGCGACACTAGCAGCTGATGGGGCATGTGCAGGGCATGGGGAAGGAGACAGGCGGACAGGGGGGTGGGACGACAGGAGGACAGGAAGAAAGCAATGAGGATGAAGGAATAAGAAAGAGGGAGGGCATGGCAGAATGGTTAAAGGACCGATGATGGAAGGTTGGGAAGGGAACAAAGAAAGCTGAAGCCACATGTGGAGAACACTTATGGGTGGGGCCCCCCTACCCCCCTGTGCGTAGTGCTGCACACAGGGGCCATGGGCTGCCGTGCATGCAGTGTAGCCCGCGCCTCCTCCCACACACACATGCAGAGGTAGCAGAAGCGGGGCTCCCCTCACACACAGTGCCACACGTCTTGACTCACACACAGTGATGGAAGACTCGCTTGAAGCAATAAAAGATTCGCATAAAGCAGGTAAAAGACTCACTATAGGGGATGAAACACTCACTATAATCGGACAAACTCTCATTAGTAAGCAGTGAATGACTAGTTACAAGCGATCGCAGACCCACTAACAGCAACGGCGGACTCACTAGCTGGGACTTTTGGGCGATGTGGATGAGCGTGGGGTGCAGATCCATAGCCTGATGTGGGGCAGGGGGGCGCGGCAGAGGAGGAGCAGACGGACGAGCGTGAGGCAGGAGAGCGCGTGATTAGCACGCTGATTGGAGCGAGGAAGGACGGACAGCCTGGATAGTGCGCTGGGTTCAGACATGCGGCAGAAAGCAAGCAACACAGCAGCGAGCAGCGCATAGGAGCAGTGAGCAGCGGGCATGGGGTGGCAGGGCTGACCTGCTGTCTGCCGAGAGGGGAGAGCGGCACGTCATGGCCGCGGCGCAGGTGATGGCGGTACGCTTGACAGGGCAGCAGCGGGGGAGAGGTGTGGGGTGGCGCAGGGGGAGGAGAAGCAGAAGGGCAAGCAGAGGCGGAGCGGGAGAGGGGGAGGTGGGACGCGAGGGGTATGGGCGCGGATGGAAGGGGGGTGTGCGGGGGCGGAGCAGAGAAGGACGTGTGTGCGTGCCTGATGAGATAGATGACCTGCTGGGGATGTAGGCAGAGCGTGTGGACGGGCGCATGGATGGATGCATGGATGGAGGATTGGTGGGTGAGTGGGTGGGGCGCATAAGAGATTCATGTGTGGGAGAAGATGATGCGAGCATGGAGGATGATGACGAATGAGTGTGCATGCGGTGCATGAGTATGCATGCGGTGCATATGTGTGCATGTGCGTGCATGTGTGCACCTTGTGCTGTCGCCCTCCTCGTGAGAACACATCCCATGCCAGGCGCGCTGAGCGTGACGCTACTTCCATGCCTGCTTCATCTCTTCGCCCCATGCCTGCTTCATCTCTTCGCCCCATGCCTGCTTCCCCCACACATGCTTGCCCTCTGCATGCCTCCTCTGCGACATCTCGTCTCGCTGCTCCACCAAACCCACCCTCTCTAGCCCCTGCATCTCCTGCACCAGCATCCGCACCACCACCACAACCATCCTCTCTTTCGCCACCTCTGCTCTCCCCCTTCTCACAAAGCCACCATCTATCCAGCCCTTTTCTCTGCCTCTTCCCTTCCCTCTCGCTCCCCTCCGATCCCCCCTCCAACCCCTTTTTCTCCTGCCGATTGACAGCATCTACCATCCCCACCCTCAACCCCAGCTCCCCTCCCTTTCCACTGCCCACCATCTTTTCCCCCGCCTCTCGCCCTTCTCTCCCCGCCTCTCCCCCTTCCCTCCCCGCCTCTCCCCTTTCTTTCCCCGCCTCTCCCCTTTCTCTCCCCACCTCTCCCCCTTCTTTCCCCGCCTCTCCCCATTCTCTCCCCACCTCTCCCCCTTCTTTCCCCGCCTCTCCCCTTTCTCTCCCCACCTCTCCACATTCTCTCCCCGCCTCTCCCCATTCTCTCCCCACATCTCGTCGTGCTCTCCCTGCCTCCCTCCTTTCCCCCCCCAACTCACCCCACCCTCCCCCCTCCTCCCTCCCCATTGCCCCACCTCCTGCCCTCCCTCTTGCCACCACGCCGCAACCCTCCTCCCCCACGCAAGCTCCTCCATGTGTGCTGTCCTCCCGCGCTGGTTCCGCGCTCGCACATGGAAGGGCTTGCGTGGGGGAGGAGGGAGCAGAAGCGACAGCAGCACCAGCAGACGCAGCAGCAGCAGAAGAAGCGGAAATAGGAGCAGTTGCAGAGGCAGCAACAGGGGCAGCAGGAGTGGGAGCAGCAACAGCAGCAGCAGCGGAAGCAGCAGGGGCAGCGGCAGTGGCAGTGGCAGTGGGAGTGGCAGTGGGAGCAGCAGCAGCAGCGTCACCCAGGCAGGAGTCAACGTGCAGTGCAACAGTGCCGCGAGGCACGAAGCGCCAGCACACAGGGCACGCCACGAACCCGCTCCCCAACCTGCCTCCTCCTCCTTCGCCGCTGCCGCCGCCGCTGCCACTGCCGTTGCCGCTACGGCTGCCGCGCTCCCTCTTCTCCTCCGCACCCCGCGTCGTCGCCGCCCGCCCTGCTCTTCCGCCATCGACTCGCCCGCCAGCCCTACGCGCAACGCATCCCCGCGCACGTCCCGCGCCGCTCCCCCTGCTCATGCCCATACCACGGCCCGCGCCCGTGCCCACTGAGCGCTGCGCCAGAGCGCAAGGATTCTTTGCGTCCAGCCTGTTTCCCGTCCGCGCAGTCCGCGCCGTCACGCCGTCAATCCCTGTGCCCGGTATTCAGTCGGCCGCGGGGAGAAGAGCGCCATGCGCGCGTGGCGGAGAGGATCCAACCGCGCGATGCACGGAGCAAACGGAGTGTGCCGTCGTGCTGCGTTCTGGCCCCTCGCCGTTCTCGGTTGTGCATGCCGTGCCGTGTCAAACGTGCGAGTCTGAAGGAGTTGGAATAATATAAAATTCATACATATCTGTGTAAGAAAGGGTTGCACATTCTTGATATTGGTCACTACATCAGGAATAGAGTCGTAGCATAACGGATGTTTTCTCGTCGCTAGTAAACTTCTCGCTTCTCGCTCTGTCAGATTATTATAGCTGATGCATGTTTGTAGGCTATAGTGGGGTAGCACATATGGGGTACAGCTTTCTAGGGTTGTATTTGTACCCAACACTGACTTAGTCATTCTCATTCCTGGTCATTTATTTCTCACATGGTATAGAGCGAGTTCCCTGTGGGAACGTTGCCTAGGGCCCACCGAAGCGCGCCCCGAGGCGCGCACCTTATTTTTAGCGACCCCTCGAGTCGCCCTTTCCCTCGCGGCCCCGCCGTCCCTCATGTTGGGCTGAGAAATAGCCCTTAGGATCTTTGCAGAGGATAACTCTTGGGTAGAAACTTGTGATAGCGGAAGCGTTTTAATGAGGATTGTGAACCGACCTTGCACTGGTGTGTGAGAGCAAAGTAGATTGAATTGAACAAGCAAATACAAGGATTTATATAAGAGTACAGGGAATACGAATAGATAGATAGATAACTGTATTGCTGTTGCGGTTCGATACAGTGCTGTCAGAACTTATAGCTTACTTGTTTCTGTAGGCTATAGTGGGGTATCCCATAGGGGGTACAACCCAATTAGGGTTTCCTATTTGTACTCACTTCGTTCATAGTCATTCCATTCTCGTTCTTTGTTTCCACATGGAATCAGAGCAGGTTCCCTCCTAGGGACTGCTTCTAGGGCCCACCGAACCGCGCCCCGAGGCGCGTTTTTTTTAGCGACCCGTCGTGTCGCCCCTAGCGGACCGTTGCGCCGCCCTTCCCCTCGCGGCTCCGCCGCCCTTCCCTAGCGGCCCCGCCGCCCTTCGATCGCGGCCCCGCTGCCCTCTGCTACGCGGCCCCGCCGCCGCCCTTCGATCGCGGCCCCGCCGCCCTCGGCTACGCGGCCCCGCAGCCCTCTGCCTCGCGGCCCCGCCGCCCTCTGCTACGCGGCCCCGCCGCCCTCTGCTACGCGGCCCCGCCGCCCTCTGCTACGCGGCCCCGCCGCCCTTCGATCGCGGCCCCGCCGCCCTTTGCCACGCGGCCCCGCCGCCCTCTACTACGCGGCCCCGCCGCCCTCTGCTACGCGGCCCCGCCGCCCTTCGATCGCGGCCCCGCCGCCCTCTGCTACGCGGCCTCGCCGCCCTCTGCTACGCGGCCCCGCCGCCCCCTGCTACGCGGCCCCGCCGCTCTCTTCGGTCGCGGCCCCGCCGCCCTCTGCTACGCGGCCCCGCCGCCCTCTGCTACGCGGCCCCGCCGCCCTCTGCTACGCGGCCCCGCCGCTCTCTTCGGTCGCGGCCCCGCCGCCACTCTGCTACGCGGCCCCGCCGATCCGCCCAGCAGCAGCCGCCGCCGCCTGAGCCGCCGCCGAGCCGCCGCCGAGCCGTCGCCGAGCCGCCGCCGAGCCGCCGCCGAGCCGCCGCCGAGCCGCCGCCCGAGCCGCCGCCGAGCCGCCAGAGCCGCCGCCGAGCCGCCCGTGACGCCCGAGCCGCCCGCGCCGCCCAGCAGCAGCCGAGCCGCCGCCGAGCCGCCGCCGCCTGAGCCGCCGCCGAGCCGCCGCCGAGCCGCCGCCGAACCGCCGCCGAGCCGCCGCCCGAGCCGCCGCCGAGCCGCCCGCGCCGCCCGAGCCGCCTGCGGAGCCGTGCTGCTGTTCCTCTGCTGCTGACCTACCCGCCTCTCCCAGCCCGGTGAGATTTTCAGCTGCTGTCATGGCCACCCCCAATGTTCTTACCTTTGACGCTGAGGGGAGGGCCATTGACTTTGCCGTCTGGATTGAAGACCTGCAGCTGTACTTACTGTGTGATGCGATAGATGAGGTCTCTCTCTTTGACTTTGTCTCTGGCGCTGTCCCTGCCCCACCTGCTGATGCTGACTCTGCCGTTCGCTCCAAGTGGGCGACCCGCGATGCTGCTGCACGTCTTGCTGTGCGTCGCCACCTCCCTTCCTCTGAGCGTGCCCACTTTAGTCAGTGCAAGACCGCTCAGGCCTTGTACGACGCTGTAGTTGCACGCTACTCCTCCCCTTCCTCCGCTACCCTTAGCCGCCTCATGCTACCGTTTCTCTTCCCTGACCTCGCTTCCTTTCCCACTGTCGCTGACCTCGTTACCCACCTCCGTGCTAGTGACACCCGCTACCGCGCTGCCCTTCCTGCTGAGTTCCGCGCTGCGAACCCTCCTCCCATGTACATCACTCTCTACTTTCTCGTCACCCGTCTCCCTGAGTCCCTTCGTGTCGTTAGGGACCAGTTTCTCTCTGTCTGTCCCACCACTCTCACTGTCGACCTCCTTGAGGAGTCCCTGCTAGCGGCTGAGAAGAGTATTGTCGCTGTAGGGGCCTCTCGGGGTGACCCTCGCACCCCTATCTTTGAGGGGTGTGGTCCTTCCCCCCTGCTGCCCTCTGTCGCCTCTGCCGCTGCGGCCGACCTCACTGGTTTTGAGTCGGTCGGCGCGGCGTCTGCCCCCAGCGGCAGACGCCGCGCTGGCAAGGGCAAGGGGGGCAAGGGAGCGGGTGGAGCTAGAGGGGGCGGTGGAGGAGGCGATGGGGGTGGCGGGGGGAGTGGGGGTGGCGGTGGGGGTGGTGGCGGAAGTGGAGGTACTAGTGGCGGCGGTGGAGGCGGAGGTGGCGGCGGAGGTGGTAGCGGAGGAGGCGGTGGGAGCGGTGGGAGCGACGGTCCTGGTGGGGGAGGTGGAGGTGGAGACGGGGGTGGCGGTGGAGGCGGGGGTGGCAGTGGAGGCGGGGGTCGGAGTGGCTCGTCCCAGCGGAGCAGCTCCGGGGGTGGTCAGCGCCAGCAGCAGCAGCAGCAGCAGCCGCAGCAGCAGCCACAGCAGCAGCAGCGCTCTCGCACCGTCCCCGCCCCTCAGCAGCTCCGTGAGTGGTACTCGCAGCGTCAGCGTGGTGGTGCGCTTGGTCCTTGCCCCTACGTTCTCCGCACCGGTGACCGTGCAGGGGAGAGGTGTGGAGGCGCCCACACTGCCCGCCGCTGCTTTGGCCGCCTGACTGACGCCTGGCGTCAGCAGTTTCCGGAGGCAGCTGAGATCCCCCGCTGGGGAGAGCTGTCTAGGGCTGGTGTAGCTATTTATGATCTTGATTTTGATGCTATTCTCTCTGCTATGTATGCTGCGATTGGTAGTGATGAGGATGACTGTTACCGGTGTTTCCCGCCCGACCCGGGCATTGGTACTGCCGCGTCAGGTACTAGTGAGGCTGCTGCTCTAGGTGCCAGTGCGTCTGTGCTCTCAGGTGCTGGTGAGTCTGCCCTCTCAGGTACTGTGTCGGCTTCGGCCTCTCACACCTTCACCCTTGACTCTGGAGCGTCTCGCTCCTTCTTTCGGGACCGCACCACTCTCACGCCGCTGAGTCGGCCGGT